GGAGTAAGTTGGGCTCAGGGGCATGTGGAGGTCGAGGGGCCCGTGAAATGTCCAAAAGGACTTGCAGTGTGAGCTCCTGGGCCCTGACACAAGAGAAGCCTGGGCCATAGGCAAATTGGGATGCTGTTGGCCAAGAACATGGCCAAAGCCATGGGGAATCTGTTACCTGAGGTTCAGGGGGACCCAAAGGTAGGGACCCCACTAGCCTAGGCAAATAGGTGAGTGGAGAAGACTGGCTTTCAGCCCCATTCATCCACAGCTGGGTGCTTTTGAGCAGTGTACAACCTGCACATTCATACATGTCAGCCCTGCCTGAAAACCTCCTCTGAACAGAATGAGCGATGTGGGGAATTTGTGTTTCTTGGGGAGAGGGCCCACTGCCTTACCTTCCTAGAGTGGACCTTGACCTAACCAAGGTGAAGGACCCCTGAGGATGAGTGGGTGAAGGAAACAGAGAAGGAACCGTCAGAGAGGTAGGTGGAGAAACGGAAACAGGTATCTGAGTTTTGCCAGAAGGCAAGTGGGAGAGGCAGGTCTGAGGGGCCCACCAACACCCCTCCTGAGCCAAGGAGAGAGCCATACCCCCACCCACTTACCCCAGCCCACGAGGCTCAGCTTGAGCATGTAGCCAGGGACATAGGTGCCAAAGACCTCAACCACGAGTCGGTAGAGGTTGTAGCCCTCGAGGCCCATCCAGGTGAGGCAAGCGAGCAGGGAGAAGTGCAGGAGCATGGCACTGGCATGGCAGCCAGCCTGGGAGCCCGTCAGGGCCGTCGGCTCACTGAGAAGGAAGCTCACATCCAGCAGGAAGATGGCCAACAGCAAGTTCATGTGCACCTTGATGGTGTAATCCCGAGGCTTTCTCCTGGGCGGGAGGAAGAGCAGGGTCAACTGGGCGGGCCAGTGTGGGAAGGCAGGGGATGGTGGGGTGTGCCCAGTTCTCTTCCTCTTCCAGGAAGCCTTCTCAGGCTTCACACACACACGCACACACGCACACACACACGCAAATGCACGCACTCTATCCTGCTCTCATGGCTACAGCCAGTCTGCTCCCCACTTGTCCCGGTGCACCTACAGTGTGCCCAGCACCCACAGGCAAGGCACTAAGTGAGCATTTAATAGAAGCCTTAGTCAGGCCAAGTGAGGAAGGCAAATCAGCCACTGCAATAAGCCAGATAGTCCCAAGTTTGGAGGGGAAAGATTTTGGATTTTTTGCTGCTTTAGAGAATCCATGCCATGTTTTGCATCTGCTTGCCTGTCTGCAGGACTGTGCATCCGTATCTGTGAATGTGGGGTATGTCTGTCCGAAGGTTAGTGAGACTAGACATGCACAATTTCCATGGAATTCTAAGTGGCCCAGGGCACTGCCAGGTTTCCTCCACGGCTTCCCACTCACCGCACCCCCCACCCCGCTATGGTGCTCTGCCTGCAGATGGCTGGTTCCCAGAGGCGCTGCAGAGCACACAGACCCCAGCATCCTGGACTCCCACCCCGCCCTGCTGGTGGCACAATGCACCACCTTGAGCTGGTCTTTTCCCCTCAGACCCTTGGTCTCCTCATCTGTGAAGTGGAAGCACAATACCTTCCCAGAGTTGGGGCAAGGGTTACATGGATAACATGCTCAGCTCCTAAGGGTTCCTGTCCCATGTCCTCCGGCACATTTGTGATCAACCAGTAGGTGATGGGGGCTTCCACCCCCGCCCCAGTCTTCCACTGAGCCCATCAAACATGCCTTCACATCACCTACTCCAGCCCCATCGCGTGTACAGCTATGTACACATGTGACACAGGCACACGTACGTGTATGTACGTGCGCATATACATACACACGGCTCCCCCTCTCCAAGTGTCAAAGACAGCAAGGATACCCTGGTGTCCACAGAACTAAGGGTGTCTCCTCTCCACCCAAACAGGCCCAGAACCTGACTGCAGGTGGACTCCAATTTAGGCCAAGCCAAGCACTGATAATCCAGACCTCCCACCCAAGGCCTGTGTGGGGGTAAGTGAAGGCGTTCTTCACTCCATCAAAAGCTTGCCACGGGGCTCCTTCTTCCTTCCCCTCCCCCCAGGAACTCCACTGGGACTGGGATGCCAGAAGCCCCATGGAGGGATCAAACTCAAATGCTCTCAGGGGACAGGCCTCAAAACACTCACCAGGGAGTGGGGGCTAGAGAGAACTGGCAAGACTATGCCTGTCCACAGGGGCCACTCAACTCTGGCAACTGTGGCCACATGGGCCTGGAGCCAGTCTGCTGGGGTTTGAGGCCTGCCTCCGCCACTTCCTCACTGTGTGACTTCAGACAAGTCGCTTACCCTCTCTGAGTTTCCCTCACAGGGTTGTTGTGAGGATTAACTGAGCTAATAATGTAAAGCACTCAGGACAGTGTGTGGCACAGGGAAAGTGCAATGTAAGTGTTAACAGTTACCATTATCATCACCATTATATTATTACTTGGACCTAGTGGTATCATGTCTGATTATTCAAAGGCAGAAATCTAGATTTTTTATGCGAACGCTCCCAATATTTAAATCTCGGCAATTGATTAAAATGTTAAATCCTGTGCTGTTGGAACACTAGACATCTGAGGAGAAAGTGTGGCTCCCCGGGGGCTCAGCAGACAGCGCCCCCATGGCTCCCCCACCCCCACACACATTCGGGGTCAGGCGGGGGTGGGGTAGCAATCTCTGGGGCAGGTCTCCATGGCTGTGGGGGCCTGGAATGGAGCATCTCCCTCCCTTCTTCCCGCCCCTCCCAGGCCCTACCTGGAGCAGAGGTAGGCAGTGATGGTGAGGACGCAGGCCAGGGCAGAGAAGACACAGCCCACGTAGGACAGGAAGGTCAGGTAATGCTTGTGCACGGTGTCCACCTCGACAGACGAGACCTGGGCCAGGAGACCAGTCAGGGCTGGACTCAGTGTCCCCAATCAACACTGAGGGTTTGCCCTAGATGAGGGCTAATCATGGGCCCCAAATGGGAGGATATGAACCATCACCCTGAACCAGAGCAGAATGTGGTCCCCAAAATTGTATTTTTCCAGAGGGGGTTCGGTAACTCTCACTACATTCTCAAATGGGTTCCTCACCCCCAAAGGTCAATAACTCTCCAGTAGAAACCCCTTTTCTGTCCTGCCATTCACTTTTTTCTACAACATTCAACATGGGAATAGATTCCTGAGAGGAAATGAGCTCCCCACCCCCAGGGACATTCAACCGGACACCCACAGGAAGGGCTGGTGGCCTCCAGGGTCCCTCAGATGCTGGAATCCTAAGATTCTGGGAACATGAACCTCGGACACAAAGCTTCTATGATCCTGGGGGCACTGGAGCCCACCTCTGGCAGGGGCCTCCATGCTGGGCCTCAGTATCCCCTCAGGAGCTCATTAGAAATACACTCCCAGCCCCACCCCAACCCTGTGAAATCAGAACCCTAGGCTGGGTCCATAATCTGCATTTTTATTATGCTTCCAAGGTGATTTCAATGCACACCAAAATTTGAGAATAAAGAGCAAGGGCTGCACAGACCAGATCTTGCACTTACTAGCTGTGTGAACCTGTGTAAGCTGCTTACCCTCTCTGAGCCTTACTTTGTTATCTATAAAATTGGACAACAACAGGAGCTACCTGGGGGATTGTTATAAGAAAGAAATGACATAATGTGTGAAAAGTGCTTGGCACAGAACAAGAACTCAGCTGTGGTGTGGCTGGGGGCGGAAGGAGGACCACTCACCATCAGCACTGCAAAGTAGGTCAGGTGGTTGCAGAAGCAAGACGTCTGAGTCTCTCTCCTGAGGGTCTCACACCCAGCATCACTCCAGCTTCCTGGGCTGCTCACTGAGGGGACAGCATGCAGCTCTGATCAAGCCCGGTCCCCAAGAACCCCACTGTACCCCCCTAAATGCAGGTCCCTAGCTGGCCATCACTCTCTCTTCAAAGCCTGCCTTCTTCCAGGAAGTCTTCCCTGATTAACTCCCCATCCCCACCCTCCAGGACCCTCTTTCTCCTCCAGATACTTGCCAAGACCAGAAACCCACTCTGTACTCACATGTCGGGTCTTCAACCCAGAATACACATTGGAGAGTCACATTCTTCTGTAGGGACAAGAAAGAAGGAGAGTGGATCCCATTACAGTCCATCCCTTTGTAAAGCCCAGACAGAGGAAGTCTACCCTCAGCCAGACAATCTTTTTGTTAAGGATAAGTGAGGTAGCAGGGAGGGGGTAGAAACGAGGACACTTGTCCCCTCTGATTGGTTTTCTCATACTCACCGGCTGTGGCTGGTGCTGAAAGGTAAGAACCACAGGCTCCGAGAGGTTGACTATTTTGGTGTTCGGCACAATGACACCCAAGACCTTCTCACCCAAGACTTGGCTGGAATTCTTGTCCTAGATATATGGAATTGGGGAAGAGAGTAGAGACGGGTGCAGGGCTGAGGAGGAAAGGCCCAGGAGTCCCCTAGGCTCCCTAGTTCCTGTCTCCCCCTAGCACATTTCTCTGAGATGCTGAGTTTCCCTCTGGAAACAATTCTTGCCCATGTAGTCATTTACACTGTAGTGAGAACTATATCACTTGAACTTCTCCCAAGGGAGATTTTCACATTGCAGTTCAATTTCTGACTGCACAAGGATAGGCCTTGACTTCTGGAGGCTGGGGCTTGGCTGCATGCCTTCTTTCCATCTCTCCATCAGAAACTGGTTTCTCCAGGGGAGGGCACGAGGGCGAGGGCCCCATACCTGGAACAGAGCTTGGCTGCTGAAATCCACCAGGAGGAGCCTCTTCTCGGCCTCCCCTCTCCGGCCTTTGGCCCTCTGGAAGAGCACACGGGGCAGCAGCACCGAGTACTCCAGGACCTCGCTCTGCTCCTCCTGCAGAAGCAGAGTCCCTTCAGGTCTCAGCCAGAGGTATCCCCCAACCCCCAGTACACCCCCTCCCGGGTGCTGCCATCTCTAACCCGCCCCCTCCGGGAAGCCATGCTGACTCGTCACAGCCCTTGTCACCTCTCCCTCCTGGGAACCAGCTCTGGCTGGGGGGCCTTCTGGTTAGAGCCCAGGGGCCCAGGGGCAAACAGGCCGGGAGAATCACGTGGCTGTTCTGTTGCTCAGGGCTTCAGGCCCCAGCCCTGCCTATAGCACCTGGAGTGGTAGGCCACACGGGTAGCTAACCAGGCCCACTCAAGGTGCATGGATGGGCATTTTGTGGTTGGTCTTCCATTCATATCCCTTCTATTCATATCCAATCGCAGGGATGTGTCCCAGGAGCCCCTGCGGCTGACAGCGGTCTCCCCTCCCACCACTGTCTCTAGCACTGGGTCCTCAGGGGTAGCCACTGACTGAGGAGGGTTATCCTTGAGCCTGTGTACCTCCCTGTCACCCCACCTCTGCCCCCCCAGAGAGCCCGGGGCAAGGCTGAGGTAGGGGCTGCATTGCAGGTACGCCCCCAGCTCCACTCCCATGGGCCCCAGGTCTGTTTCCTGCCCTGGCCTGGCGCTGACCTCCTGCCGGGAGTGGAGGTGCAGGTCCTGGAGGCCAGCCGTGGGCTGGAGCTTCCACACCGTGGCATTGACCCGGTCCTCCTCGAAGGACACCGTGTCTCCGACGAATCTCACAGAGGTCAGCTTTGACTCGAGGCTCTGCAGATGGCTGGTGAGGAGAAGAGAGGGGCTGGTGACTGGCGGGGAGGGGACCGGGCAGGCGGGCAGGGGAGATGGGCAGAGAGAGAGAGAAGGGAGGAGAGACTCAGGAAGATACAAAAGGAAGAGGCAGAGGCAGAGAGAGGGGAAGGGGGGCAAGGGAGAGAACGGGAGGGCAAGAGAGAAAAACAGCCAGCTGAGTGTGGGAGAGAGAATGACCGGGTGAGGGCAGAGAGAGGAAGCTGGAGCAGCAAAGATGGAGAGAACAGGAAAGAAGAGAGACTGGGGGTGGGCGGCAGTATCCCAGACAGCTCACTGGCAACTCTAGAACTGCCAGCTCTGCCCGGGCTGACCCACTCTGGGCCATGGGGCAGCCCCGTCCACCTCGGGCTTCAGTCTGCTGAGCTCTAAAATGGGCCAACAGTCTCTCCTTTATTCAGGGAAGGGGGACTTGGGAGCAGCATTCTGGGAGGGTGGGTGTGAATGGATTGTTTTTAAGGCTCAGCCGGGTGAGGGGTTCAGCCCGGTGAAGGGCTCAGCTTGTGGGGCTGTGTCTCAGCAATTCCAGGAGGAGAAAGAAAGACAAGCCAGAGAAGTTCAGAGAATGTTCCACCCCAGCAGAGGCCTCCAACCCGCCTCCCAGCCCCAGGTCCGCAGCCGCCCAGGACCAGGTCTGGCGGGTGCCTCCCTCCAGCCCCATTCCCTGAGCCAGCCACACTCACTGTCGGTCAGGGGTGGACGAGGGCCTCCTTGAGCTCTTCCTGGGATGCTGCAGAAACTGGCTGAGCAGCTCGAGGTCCCTCTTCAGCTCACATATGTCCACTGAAGCATTGTGGGGGGTCTTCTGGGGAGGCTCTGGGGGAAGGGAATGGACAGACCTGCTGGAAGGCTGTTGACTGAGGAGCTGGGCCACACCCATTATTCTCCCAGTTAAGCCTCCCCAGAACTCTGAATGTTTTTACCCCCATCTTACAGAAGAGGAAACTGAGGCTCCGAGAGGTGGCGCGGACTCGCCTAAGGTTACTGAGAGATGAAGCCAGCTAGATGGGGGCTCTGTCACATGGAACCCTCCAGCACCTCCAGCCCCAGCAGGTGGGGTGGGGCACGGCCTGCCTAACACCCTACCCAGGCACCCTCTGTCTACAGAGCCTCCTTCAGGAGGGACATGGGAGGCTTCTGTGGTGGTTTGGGGACCCCACACCTGCTGGCCTCCCTGTCCCCAGGCTCCAGCCCCCTCCCTAGAGCTGCCGACCTGCTGTCTCCAGGCGCCAGGCAGGGGACTCAGTGAAGTGGGCAGACTGGGAGGGGGTGTGGGGCACGTGGGGAGGGGACATGCCCTGTGCCATCGAGGCCCTGGGTAGCCACATCTGAATTTACAAGCCAGAAAGCCTGATTTTTAGGGGATTTGAAAACCTTGGCTCATATTTTAAAAAGCACCCCACAGACCAAACCAGACCAGGTCAGATCTGTTCTCAGGACACCACTTTGTAACTTTGCCCTGAATCCTCCCAGGTTGGGGGCAGAATCCCAGCCTGGGGGTGGGGAGCCCCATCTGACTGCCCCTGCCCCTGCCTGCTGCACTGGACAGCACCTGGGCCAGGGGACTGACCTGCCCTGCCACCCCCAGCTATTTCAGGCGCCTGGACCTGCTAACATTTCCAAAGTGCCACACCCCCTACCTCGGGCACAGCTCCGCCCCAAACCAGAGCTGCCTAAAATGAATCAGAATCAGGGAAGTCTAGACCCCAGTAAATCCTCAGCTCCTTCCGGCCACCTTCTCCTCCTCTGCCGCCATTCAGTACTTAACAGAGGCTGCAGCCACATCACCCCCGTCACCCCTCAGGCAGAACAGACACAAGCTCCACATCCCAGACTCAGCCAGCCCGAAGCTTTCCTGAACTTTGACCGCTCTTGCTATACCCATCCCCCACCTCAAGCCAATCAGCTGCCGGTTTCAAATCCTGACTCCCTCACTTAAGAGCTGTGTAGCTTTAGGCAGCCTCTCTGTGCCTCAGTTTTCTCCTCTGTGAAATGGGGTTAAGTAATCTACAATGATTCCCTTCATTCCTGCCTTGTTTAGGCCCCATCCTCCTGTACCTGGGCCTTCCCTGAAGCCTTTGGATGGGATTTTGCCCCTCCACCCTACCCTTACCTTCCCACAAAGCTTCCAGAATCACACCTTGGATCACGCACCTCCCTTGCTCAGATGCCATCAGTGGCTCCCCGCTACCTGCACAAAGCCCAAGCTCCCTGGCCTGACAGAGCCCAGGCTGCTTCCAAGCCTGCCTTCCTCGCCTCTGGGCCTTTGCCCCAGCTCTCCCTTCTGCCTGGGAGTCCTCTTACTGTGGAAGAAAAAGGTGAAGCCAGTGGCACAGGGCAGGCTGGTGTTCTGGGGGCTCCACCAGGAGCTGATGGAGGTGGCAAGCAGTGGGGGGCCCTGGACCGAGCTCTCCTTCTGGTGCCGGAAGCACAGCAGGCCAGAGGCCTGGTCACTCAGCAAGAAGTCGTTCTTGCCATAGCAGAGGTGCAGTTTCCCAGTGTGGTGGCTCCAGTAGAGGCAGAAGTGGTAGAGGCCCCTGCGGTCAGGAAGGACTCGGGAAGCCCCCGGGACTGCGGGGAAGGGGGCGCTCACTGTCAGAGCACCCTCGGAGTTCTTGATGGAGATGTGCAGCTCTGACGTCTGCTCATATTGGAGGTTGCTGCTCTGCGTCTGGTTCCGCTGGCCGCAGAAGCAGAAGTCTTCTTGGAGGCCCCCACCACAGGCACCTGGGGAAGGCAAAGGCTGCAGGTGAGGCTCAGGGGCAGGGGCACACCAGGGACATGGGAGAGGGCAGGCCCTGGGCCCAGAACTCACAGCCCAGCCCTGGGATTCACACACATTCCAAGAACCTACCCCTCAAAGGGTCTACAAAAAATGCATGTGTCTACCTGCTCAAAAATCATTGGCTTTAAAATATAAAAAGAAAAGAGCAAAATCAAAATTAAGAATAATTTCAAAGGCAAAAAAATATTTTAATAGTAATACAGTGTTTAATGAGGCAAGGGCTGCCATAGACAGCTGTGCGGGCTGTGCACTGCACAAGGATGCTCTGGCTGCAGAGGCAAGTGGGGCTGAAATCCAACCATGTCCCTTAGCCCAAGCTGTGTACCCTGGTGTGGGGCTGGATCTACCAGAAGAAAGAGGTGCCTTTTCTTTTCTTCAAGGCACCATCCGCTTGCTAAACTGTGCCTGCAGGCTCACGCTTGCACAGAGGAGTTATCATATGTACTGGCAGCTGCCCTAGAAAGCCTTACCTTGGACCAGGAGGAGCACAAGCAGTGGGAACAGCGCCATCTGCAGCCCTTGGGCAGCCATCTTCCTCCCTGGAAGTCACACCGAGAAGTCACCACCTGAAAGAGACCAGGAGTGTTGTGCCAAGGACCTGAACCGCAGGGTGGCTGGGCCAGCCCTGCAGAGGAGCAGCTCAGCGTGACGTGGATGTAGGAGGTGAGGTGAGGAGTTGAGTGTGGAATAGCCCGTGGACCTCCTCAGAGCTGCTAGAAGCTGAGCATCAAGAGGCAGCAGCTGTCCGGAGCTTGGCTGAGCTCAACGCCCAGCTCCACCTCTCAGTTGCTGCAGGACCCTGTGTAACTGTAAGTTGCCCAAAATGGGGATAATAATAGTGTCTCCCTCCCAAGCCCAGGAGTGATGTGAAATCTTGCCTAGTGTCCACAGTACCACCTAGAACCACCACAACCCTGCCCTTACCAGATCAGGAGAAGACACAGAAGAAATGAAGTTCTCAGAGTTCTCTACCAGGAACCACACCATCATCATCCCTGAGACCTAGCTCGAAGGACACCTCCTCCAGGAAGCCTTCCTCAACTCCCTCTGGAGTCAGTCCTGACTCTGACCTCCTTTGGTTCCCACCACTGACCAGGGCCCCCTCTGTTAGGCCTCCTTAGTCAGTGCGGGATGGTGTGTTCCCGCCTCAGCCAGCCAGAGAACTCCTGATCCATCTCCATACCCGCGGCCTGGCGCACAGACATTACTGGATCAAGGCTTGGCAGGTGGCCAGGTGAAGGAAATGGACATCAACGTTCCCATAGCGCCCTCTACAGGGGGCAGAGGAGAAGGGCGCTTCCTATCATGACCACCAGAGGGAGCCAGTTCCCAGGACCCTGGGCAGCAGGAACAACAGAGGGGAACATTTAGTCTCTGCAGGAAACTCAAACTCCTGAGGGCCAGATGGCCCAGCACCTCCCACTCCAGTGTAGAGTGGGCACCTCTGCCCCCCACCCCTGGCCTCCATTAGCTGAGCACCTACTATCCGCCAGCGTCTGTGCTGACCTCCCCCAACCCCTGCACATGCATTAATCCTCACTCCAGTCCTGTGAAGTGGGCACTACTGTTGGCCCATTTCACAGACAGGGAACCTGAGACCCAAGGAATTAAATGACTAGCCCAAGATTGCTCCAGAGGCCAGGGCTTTCTCTCCCTGGTGAGGACTGTAGCACCTGTCCAGGAACCTTTGTGCTTGGCACTTGTAAA